TAAATTTAAATAAGATTTTATTTAATATATTCGCTGGTTTGCGTTGGGTGACGATGGCGATGGAGGGTGATCGATGAAGGATGAATATCACAGAGACTATCACTCCGCTCGGCGGCCTATCACAGCTGATCCCTGGGGGCGGGACTATCACAGAAGTCTTCGAGCTGCTCTCCTCATTGGTTCCTGGCTGGTGACGTCAGAGTCGACACCATCGTTGATTGGTCAGCTTCCGCGTGTCGCTGGCGAACCATCGGCTGAGGCAGCGGCTCCAGGTAAGGTAGCGGAAGGGGATTGGCCTACCAGGGGCGCCACATGGGGCCCGAGGGGGCGGCGATGGTCAGGAGGCCCTGAGGGCGTGGCGAGGGGCTGCTGCTGCCGGAGGTGCTGCTGGCGGCCGGGGAGTTGCTGCTCCTGCTGGAGGAGGTGGAGGGGGCGGGGGACAGTTCGGAGGCGGAGGAGTATCCACTGGAGGCCGAGGAGAGGGCGGGCGAGGGCTCGGCCTGGGGCACGAGGATGGTGAGGGGCGCCCGCTTCTCGTAGTTGGTGAGGGAGATGCCCAGGTGAGTCATGAGCTTGGTGCCGAGGGTGACGTCGACGCCCTGCACAGAGGCGAGGCAGCGGGACACTTCGGAGGCGCAGTGGCTGTATCCTTCGCGGAACTTGTCCTGGTGGGTCGGGAGGGGCTGGATGGCCAGCTGGTTGCGGCGCTGGAGCTTCTTCAGGTGGGTCACGGTCAGCTCCAGCACGTCGGCCTTCTCCAGCTTGGCGATGGACTCGCCCTCGGACTGCAGGGCGCTCACCATCAGGTCCTTGAGCTCGTCCAGGCACTTGTTGATGCGAGCCCGCCGCTTGCGCTCCAGCATGGGCTTCATCACCTTGCGGTACTGGTAGGTGCGGGACATGGGCTCCAGTTCACAAGCCATCTTGCTGGTTTATCACAAAAAGACGTAAAGTCCAAAAAGTTCACAAAGTCCAAAAAAGGCAGCGGTGCTTGAGAATCGCTACGAGGAGAACCGAGAGAGCCGAGTGAGGCTGTGTGTTCTCAGTGAGTGTCGGAATGAGTATGCCTTCTGAGCCGTCCGCGCCCCTTTTATAGTCGGCGGCGCGGAGGGGGCGGGGCGAGCGAGCGTGAGAACGGCGGGGTCGTGCGCGTTCCCACACACCCGCCACCTGCCCGCCGCAGCTGCCCCGCGATGCCACACACCGCCACATCCTCGTTCACGTGCTCGCGGAAACCCCGCTTGTGTGCATCCTTCATCGAACCCAGTCATTTTAATTCGGTGCAGCGGGACGGAACCTCGTATTTTACAGCATGATCTGATTTCCGCATGCTGCACGCTCGTTCGCAGTGGCTGAAATCGAGCAGAGAAGATGGCGCAAGAGTAATGCCGTCTGTTTGGACACACGGCGGCTCTAGAACCAATTCTCTTTTTCCTACAGCTTCATTCTATCCAGAGGATTGCAAAACATATATTACAATCTTTATTTTGCGCAAATAATCCGGAGATAAAACCCTAAATGTACATCCAGCCCTCTAGCGACCGACGGCACCTCCTTGACCCGTGCTTACGCTGGGGGTCTCTACCCGGGGGTGGGGAGGGGGGAGGACACCGGGGGGACGGGGGGGAGGACAGTGCGGGGTGCGTTGGAATGTCTCAAGACACGGGCAGATGTTTTCCCACAGTCTCAGAGCGGCCGACCCACGTACGAACGCACACACGCGCCGGACCGAGCGCGAACTGATACACGTACACACACACACACGCACACACACACACGGATCTCCTGCCATCAAAACTTACGCACGTGACCGTTCGTTCGCAACCTGATTGTGTTTGAAAGGAGATTTCATGTAACATTATATTTATTCCCAGTACATCATCAAGTACTTCATTTTCCTAAACACAATCTTAAAAAAAGAAACTCGAAACGAACAAAAATGGCAATTGAAGCTAACAAAAACAAAATCCAGTCTAGTTTTCAACGGGTGATGCTGGCGGCGCGCGGGATGAGCAGTTGAGCTGGCCGGCGACATGTGGCAGCCACGGCACGAGGCACAGCGCAGTAACCATAAGGGTCGAGTTTTTTTTTTTAATTCTTGAATGAAACAACAGCTCATTCCTATTTATCTCCGGGTCTCCGCCCATGGATTAGTTTCTAGGGGTAATAATAATGTTCTTTTTTAAAAATAATTTCTTGCAGTTCTTTTATTTCAGACGTGGGTATAAGTAACTACATTTTTGGTTCCTTACTCGTACAGTATAAGCAAAGGACCTGCCTGGGTGAGGAACCTGAAGGTGGGGGGGGGAGGGGAAGGGGTGATGCTGAGAACGTGTCTTGGGATGAGAGGTTAAGACAGGAGGGCATGGGAGGGGGATGGGGTGGGGGGAAGGGAGAGGGTGAGGTGGGGGATGAGAGTAAGAGGGAGTGGGCAGGGAGTGAGGGTAACAGGCCATCATTACTATACTTGGTGGCTCTGTGAGATACCTTTCATTTCATCACGTTACTGTTGCGTCTCACAAGCCGCGTTTTCCTCTCTCGGCCTCATGTCAAGAGCGTGTCGCTTTTTTCTACGACAGACGACCCGTTTCAGTGAAAGTTTGACCAGATCCATAGAGGCCGCGATACCCTGAAGAGTGACCAGCAAACAGGTCCATATGAGTAGTCCTTCCACGCACGTAAAAAAAAGGGTGGGGTGGGGGGTTGGGGGGAGGGGGAGGACGAATCTGTATCAATTCTTTCACTTACTTCACCGGGTCTCGTGTCGAATTGGGGACTTCTTTTGTCGAGTACAGTAGCCACGGGGGTTGGGTGTGGGGGGGGGGAGGTGCTTCGGTTATAGTGGAATTCACTTCGATCGTGGGAAGGTAGTCTTTTAACCTGTGCTTTCGAAGCTGCTCTTTCTCTGTCTCTCTGTCTTTGTTTCTATATATTTTAAAATGTTTCTTTCTGTCTGTTCCTGTCTCTGTCTATCTATCTATATATCGTTTAATTTGTATTTCCTCTTCCATGCACATCCAAACACGCTCAAAGTTATGTACAAATCTTGGTATCCAACTGTCGATCTGTGTGTTTATGTGAGTGACTGCGCGCGCGTGTGTGTGTGTGCCTGTATGTGTGTGTGCGTGTATGTGTGAGTGTGTGCGTGTATGTATGTGTTTCTATGTGTGTGTGCGTGTATATGTGTGTGTGAGCGTGTATGTATGTGCATTTCTATGTGTGTGTATTTATGCATGCGTGTGTATGTACGTATGAAAGCGTATGTGTCTGTATGTATGTGTGACTCATGATTCGTCATCCTTATCGCGTTGTCACAACACGCTGAAGGCTGCTGCTCCGTGACGTCATTCGGCCTTCAGCAGCGCAGGCAACGTCCGTGCAATTTTAATCTTTTAAACTCTTCTTTTCTTTCTTATTCTTTTCTTATTTCTTCTATTTTTTCTGATCATCATCTTTATTATCTTTTCACCGTTCTCTTCCATTATCTTAACTTTTCTCTCGTAATGATAGATTTTGTCCCAGATTTCCATTAATTCTAGTAATTCATGTAATCAAATATTGATATTTGCATATATATATATATTTTTGCATTTTTTGTGTCCAGTTTTATAATGAAATATGTATTTCTTTTTCGAATATTTTAAATCAATTATCTGCATCATTTTTCGATAAATTTGTGGTTATATATGTTGCGTTTTTTTTTCAAATAGTTGGTTAAGATGTGTGTATCTTTTTCAGTTCCTTAGTAGTTAATTGTGTGCCCATTCTGATACATTAATCATTAATTGTGTACCTCTTTTATTCATATTTAATCACCTGTGTATATTTCTTGATTCACTGTTATTCAATTATGTACCTTTTTTGTCGATTTGTTATTCTGTTATGTACCTTTTTCGAGTAATGTGTTATATCTTATACATTAAGGAAAATGTTGTGATAATATGTACATTTTTTTTCGATTCATTCCCGTGTCCGGATAAGGGAGAGGTTAGCGATGGCGGTTAGCGTGGGGGGGAGGGGGGTGTCCGTCTCACTCCGAGAAACATTTCCTCTCCTCATTATTTAAATGTTCTTTCCCAGATCAGGTTTAAGGAGTCGAAGGTCTCAGCGGCCGTGCATTTCCTGTCGGGTGGGTCTGTCGGGCGGGTCTGTCGGGCGGGTCTCTCGGGTGGGTTCGTAGCGGCTCGTCGGCTGGAGGTTCCATTCATTAGCATTTTCATTCATTCTTACCTGGGCCTAATCACACCTTCTCAAGGACGGGCGTAATCACGGAGGGAGGGAAGGGGGGGTGCCTGACGCATTTTTTTTTTTTGGTTGTTGTGGTTTGTTAATGGTGTGGTTTGGTTGATTGGGAATTTGTATATATTTTTTTGGGGGGATTAGGTGATGGTCTATTTGATTTTGTGGGGATTATTGATTAAAGTTGGCGGATCAGATTGGAATTGTAACTGGCAATTGGCAACTCTCTCTCTCTCTCTCTCTCTCTCTCTCTCTTATGCGATTCGCTCTCTTTAAAGTTAGGACATGGTCAGTGGGTCTACATGTTAATTCCATCTCTTTCTCCCTTTCCGTCCCTCCCTTCTGTCTTTTTTTTTTCTTCCCTCTCTCCTCTCCCTCTTTCTGATCCCCTAAGACGCGCCGGTCATCTCGTCGGCGTAAATCCAAGGAAGGAAATTTGCCCGCATTTAGACACAACTTCCGGTTAGTTTTCCATTGTCCTTAACAGTCACACGGAACGAGACATATCGAGGCGCCATCTGTCGGCTTTGATAAGAAACATAAAAGGTGTCGGTGGACGGGGGTCTTGACAAAAAGACTCTCGGATTAAATGATCGGGCACAGATGTTGCTTCTGAAAGGGCCTCGTTTTGCCTGTGATAATAACATCGTTTAGTTTTGATTATTCTTATATAATTTCGAACTTCCGGTAACCTATTTCAGTTCTCAGGTAATGGTGGTATTAACGAGTTGGTGGAAAGGATAGGCGTACTGAAAGGGTCTCTAAAACTGATGAAAATAACGTTATATTTACTTTTTTTTCTCTTTTTTGTTTTAGAATAGATGTAATATAGCTGTCAAGATATAGAGTACAAGTCTGTATTTACGAAATGTGTGATATTAACTGCAATTGTTAATATAACGTTTGAGGTTTTAATAAGTTTCTAAAAAAAGGTTCGTAGATTCTTACTGATCAAAAGGAAAGTAAATAAATAAATAAATAAATAAACAAGGAAACACGCAAGAGACAGAAGACAAAATAAACGATAATAAGCAATGGAGAACGAAGGATAGGAAGAGGGAAGACGAATAAGAAGGAGGAGGAGGAGGAGTGGGATAATGATAATAATATCAATAATAAGACGAAGAACAGCAACAATAACAACAAGAAAATGAAGAAGATGAGGAGGAAAAGGAAAAAAGGAGATGAAGAATATGAGGAAAATGAATGAAATTAAAAATAAGAATAAGGAAAAGAACAGGAAAGGAAGAAGAGGAAGAGAGAAAGAAGACGGAGAATGAGCTTCGAGCGTGGGAAAGCTCCGAGCCAACACTTCTAAGTAACTTCTACAAGTGATAACGTATCAGTAACTATCGAAAAGCGGGAGGGGGGGGGAGAAGGAGGCCGATACCCCGTCCCTCTCTCTCCCCTCTCCTCTCCCTCTCCCCCTCTTCTCCTCCTCTCCACCTCCCCCTCTTCCCCCTCTCCCTCCCCCTCTCCCCTCTTTCCTTCTCCCTCTCCCCCCTCTCCCCCTTCCTCCTCCCCCTCTTCCCCTCCTCTCCACCTCCCCCTCCCCCCTTACCTGTTGGCATCCGGGGAGAGGAGACTGCTTACCCAGGCGAGTGTAATTGTTTGTTTTGCTTTTCGACGCAAACAAAGAATGGAAGGAAATGGAGAAATATGTGCTTGTGTTTGTCTTTAGTCTAATTATGGCGATGTTTTTTTATATGTTTGTTCTTTGGATTTTTTTTTTCGTTGAGTTTTTGAATTCTATGTTTGCATGTGTGTATGTGTTTGTTTGTCGTGTGTGTGTGTATGTGTTTGTTTGTT